TTTTTTTCCCCCCTCCAGGATGGAAGAGCAGTCATAAAACCACAAAGTCAACTCAAACTCAAGATTCTTCATTTCAGGAGCTGATAGTGAAAAGATCCAAAAGGAATGGACCCTGGGACTTCAAATCAGAAAAACCCTGCATATCTGAAGACAGATTAGAGAAAAAGCAGGAGAAAAAGGAAAGGGTTCAGATAATTTCAGTCCCCCACAAAAAAATCCTTACTATGGAAAGAAAACATAAAAATTCTGAATTTGGCCAAAACTTCAGCCCAGACTCAGTCCTTGTTAGGCAACAAATGGTTCCCAGAGAAAAAACACCACCAAAATGTGAAATACAAAGAAACAGCTTCAAACAGAATTTAAATTTACTTAATCAACCAAAAATCAACACAGCAGAGAAACGCTATAAATGTAGTCTATGTGAGAAAACCTTTATTAACACTTCATCCCTTCGTAAACATGAGAAAAACCATAGTGGAGAGAAATTATTTAAATGTAAAGACTGTTCAAAAGCCTTTAACCAAAGTTCAGCTCTTATTCAACATCAAATAACCCATACTGGAGAGAAACCCTATGTATGTAAAGAATGTGGGAAAGCTTTTACTCTTAGTACATCCCTTTATAAACATCTAAGAACACATACTGTGGAGAAATCCTATAGATGTAAAGAATGTGGTAAGTCTTTCAGTCGAAGGTCAGGACTTTTTATACATCAAAAAATCCATGCTAGAGAAAACCCCTATAAATATAATCCAGGTAGGAAGGCGTCTAGTTGCAACACATCCCTTCCCGGATGTCAGAGAACTCATTCCAGAAAGAAGTCCTATTTATGTAATGAATGTGGCAACACCTTTAAGTCTAGTTCATCCCTTCGTTATCATCAGAGAATTCACACAGGGGAGAAACCTTTTAAATGTAGTGAATGTGGGAGAGCCTTCAGTCAGAGTGCATCTCTTATTCAACATGAAAGAATTCACACTGGAGAAAAGCCCTATAGATGTAATGAATGTGGAAAAGGCTTCACTTCTATTTCACGACTTAATAGACACCGAATAATTCATACTGGTGAGAAGTTTTATAATTGTAATGAATGTGGTAAAGCCTTAAGTTCTCACTCGACACTTATTATTCATGAGAGAATTCATACTGGAGAGAAACCATGTAAATGTAAAGTGTGTGGGAAAGCCTTCAGACAAAGTTCAGCTCTCATTCAACATCAGAGAATGAATACCGGGGAAAGACCCTATAAATGTAATGAGTGTGGGAAAACATTCAGGTGTAACTCGTCCCTTAGTAATCATCAGAGAATTCATACCGGAGAGAAACCATATCGATGTGAGGAATGTGGGATATCTTTTGGCCAAAGTTCAGCTCTTATTCAACATCGGAGGATTCATACAGGAGAGAAACCCTTTAAATGTAATACATGTGGGAAAACTTTTAGACAAAGCTCATCACGTATTGCCCATCAGAGAATTCATACTGGAGAGAAACCTTATGAATGTAATACTTGTGGGAAACTTTTCAATCACAGGTCATCTCTTACTAATCATTATAAAATTCATATTGAAGAGAACCCCTAGAAACTAGATTTGCATGTGTGAAAGCCTTAAACCAAAGCTCATCAGAATACATGAGAATGGTGTAATAAATGTAATGGATACAAAAGACTTTCTATAATTTAGTCATCAGACATTAAATTCCAAGGATAAATCTTGACTATGTAATAGATAATAAGGAAAGTGGGAAGTGTTCATGTCTGTCAGACCCTTTAACCTGAAATTAAGAATTCACAACTGGAGACGCTGACTTTGGGCATTTGTAAAATAAAAGAATTGTTTTATCTCTACAGCAGTGTATACCAGATATCGTGATTGTCATAAACATCTGGGCCAGAGGTGTGTGCACTGCATTTCTCATTCAAAACAAAACTATAAACTGATAATACTTTAAAAAATAACTAACATTTTATTAACATATAAAAGATGTGATCAAAGAAATTATACATTTTTGGAGAAAAGGACCAAATAAAAGATAAAAATGAATTGTAAACTACCTCTCAGTTTCTGGAGTTTGTCCTTTTCCTGACCCAATGTCAAACTGTGCATGGATTTTACTTAAAAATAGAAACAAAAGTCTGTTTTCTTCTTCCTTTGTTCTTCAGCTAACTGCTATTGGGAATTTTCTACCCAATTCCTAATGTTGTCAGAAATTTTTTTTTTTGCTCTGAAGTTATGAGCGTATACGTGAGCTATATATGTAGGCTTTCATCTTAGGCATATTAAATGGAAAAATAAGCCATTTCAAGTTTAAAGCTATTAAATATATATTTAAATTCAATTCACAAAAGAAGTTTGTGAATCTTAAAAGAAGTTTAACAAATCACCGTGCCAAAATACTGAAAGTACATCAATCATTTCATGACATAAAAAGTTTGTTTTTCTTACTTGGTTTTTCTAGTTTCGATTTCAGGAAAACAAAAGGAGTAATTATAAACAACACAGTATTTTTTTAATCCCAGATTTGAGGCAGGCACTATGCTGCACACTGGGAGTTTTAGGAAGAAAAGCCTTCAAACAGCCATGAAGTGGGGGAAAGGAGATGGAGTTGAAGGACTAGCAGATGAATAATCAAATTATATCACAGTGTGTAAATATGGTTGGTGTAACAGGCAAATGGGTTATTTATGGTAGTATGTTGCAAGAATGTTGTATAGATTAGCACAAGATGAGGTAAACGAGATTGAACCTAACCAAGGAATCTTGGAGACATTAAAGATTGCTTTCCAGAGGCCATGATACCTAAGCCAGGTTTCAAAAGAAGAATAGGAAGTCTCCAGAGGGTGAGATAGCTTTCCAAATAAGAGGAAACTGCATGTGTGAAGATACAGGTGGATAATATGGCACCTTTGTGGAAATGTAGAGAACTAATGTCAGAAGAATGACACATTAAAATGTTGAGCAGAAGCCAAATAACAAAAGTCCTATTTGCCATGCTAAAAAGTGTGGATTTTATCCAGAAACTGATGGAATCAATTGAAGATTTTAAGCAACAAAAATTGTTCTGGCAGTAATATGTAGAGGATGAATTTAGACGGTTGAGGACAGCTATGCAGACTGATGCCTAGAAATCTGTGCTGTTGTAATTCAAATGATCGATGAATGAGATTCCAAACTGAAGCAGGGACAGTGGTTCTCGAAGAATTGGAGACATAATGTATTAGGATAAATGAGACATGGTGTTCACAAGCAAATAGACAAGGTTGGTGAGTGAGAGGGCTAAACTGACAGTAGCCTTGCCAGGCATCCTGTACATACAGGACATGTCCCATATTTAATGATTTGGTCCTGCATTGTGTATTGACTTTGTCAGGCTGTCCTTAATGTATTCAGTTGTGGGGTTTTTTCCCCAATAACAAAAACTCAGCAGTTAGACCTATTTTTCTGCTTCAGTAAATTAGCACTTAAAATATTTAAATGGCAACACGACCTGAAAATCCTACCTTCACAAATAAAGATCTGAACAATTCTTTATAGTCTCCTGTGTTTTGGGGCTGAGGGAAGACCAGAAAGGGGAAGTGCGAATTAAAAGTCTCATTTTCCATATTAAAGAGAGGAAAAGACTTTTGCCCAATTCTGAAGTTGTAAACAAATAATTACCATTAGAGATGACTTTGGATCAGCACACATGCTCTGAAACTCAGCAACAGCGGCCATGCTCCTGAACATTAGCAAGTTAATGACAGGCTCCAGCTTCTGAAAGCCCATTAGTGACCGTCCCATGCCTCTAGACAACACAGTCAGCAAATCCTGCGCTCCAGTGACCATACTTCTGGGAGTACACCAGTCAGCAACAGCCTTATTCCAGGGATCACACTAACACAGTTGAAAGTCTTTCGGTCCATAAACACTCCTGCCTCTGAAAATCCACCAATCCAAGGTCCTGTTTTGTTGCAGTATGCGTGGATGACTTCGCTTCTCGGCTCTTCCAAATCTCACAGGAAGACAGCATCTGCCTGTTAAAACTTTTGATCTTGAGGGCTGGCTGAGTGGCGCGTTGGTTAAGAGCTGGCTTGGGACGCCAGCTCTGTGCAGGTAGGGCCCTGGTTCGGATCCCATATGAGGGCCAGTGACACTGCGCCCTCTACAGCTAAGATGGTGAACAACAGCTCGACCTGGAGCTGGGCTGCTGTGAGTCACTGGCGACAGTGTAGGCTGCAGCCCCTGCTGCAGTGGGTTGCCATGGGCTACCGTGTGTAGCCAGCAGCCAGGATGAGCGGCCCTCAAGCCGCCGTGAGTGGCTGTACAGAAGCCAGCAACTGATCTGCCTCGCCCGGGAAGAGCGCAATGATGGTGCCAACTTGGGCCAGTGAAGCAACGTCCTCCATAACTAGACTGAAGAACAAAAGGACAGTAACTTATCTGTTCCCATCCCCCCAATTCCCCAATTTAAAAAAAATAATTAAAAAAATAAATAAAAATAAAAGGCTTGAAATTCACAGAAGTCTTTCTTTTATTCTACAGAATTAACTAACTCTGGATTCTTATCCAAAATTTCATAGTCTCTGAATTTGCAACCTACAGGCTGATAAATTGATAAGACATTTTGTTCCAAACAGTTTCTTTTGAGATAATGATACTGTTTAATTGTTTCATGTTTTATTCCTGCATTATGTCTTCCCAAATTGCTTGTTTAATTCTTTCAGTTCTGAGTGTTCCTTTGCTGTACTCACTATTCTAAGATATGGAGCTTAAAGGAGAAATGCCTGAGAGATCTCCCTTCTCCCCTTTCTTGTTACTCAGATGTGACCAGAATAGGTTTCCAAATCTGTGAGCTTTTCCCTGGTGTGGGACATGACACTGAGGAAAGGTCCCTCTTGGCATCGAGGGACAAAAGGTCACTGAAACCAGAAACACCTGACTCTTGGTCAGCGATGCTTTCAGAGAAGGATCTTGATCAAAAGGAGTAAATGAAAAAATTAATAAACAGAAACCTCATTTAAAATAGTGAGGCCAGAAAGGGGAGCTCTCACCCCCTTTCTCAATTGTGAAGTACAACAGGGAGACTGTAATATTCTTCCCAACTTCCTCTCCCTTCTATACAAGGGCTTTCTTTCCTTTGTTGTCGTGGACTTGCATGTTAAGGATGGCAATTCTTTGTTGTTCCCAAATAAACTCATTTTGCTGGAGAAATATCTGGCTAACTTTTTGTTTAAGGTCAACAATGTCTTTTACCTAAATAAAATAGAAACATGGCAGAGTCTGTGTCTCGAAATTTCTGCACATTTCCAGGAAAAAATATTAACTTGAATTGACTTCTCTGGGCAGATCCCACTTTCACAAGTCTTTCTCTTCATCAACAATTACTGTCATTTACAAACACACACACACACACACACACACACACACACACAAACTTATTTCTCACTTTTCTAAAAATGACTAAAATATGACAAAATGATAAGAACTGCAGTCCTTCCGTCAATATTGTTCTCCCAGAAAGTATATAAATCTTGTGAGAAGTCACTGGTTGCCTGGCCACTAGAGAGCCCTCATTCACTAGGACCCTTATTAGAAAAGAATCTTAAAGGAGGTCTCAACCTCTGGCTTGTGTGCGAATTGTCAGGCAATAGGTGGGGGTCTGTTAGGCCACTGCGACTGTGAACCATCTGAAGACACATCGGTCATCCACACGCATGGCCTCACACACACTTGGCTATGATTTGAGTGTCTCCACCTGGGCTCAGTGGTCTTTTTGCCTAGAGTCAGTCTTTTTGCCTGGAATCTGTCCATTTGCAGCAGGAGCCTTTGTGCACTGAAGCCTGTGCCATGGGGCTCCAGGTACCTGAACATATGTAGTCTTTCTGAGGCTCTTCCCCACACTGTGGACTAAGCAGCCCTAGGTTTACCAAAGACCTGAGGCGGGGCCCTGCTGGGGTTCTCCCCTGTAAACTGGGGGTGTGTGGAATGGGGTCTCATGGCCAAACCATCGGCTGCCCACTCCCGGTTTCCCATCTTGTTACAGGAAAAGAGGGTTCACACAGGAAAGAATTCAAATGTGAGCCAGTATAGAGTTTAAAGTAAAAGTTGGTTTATTTACAGACAGAGTGGTGGTCTCCAACCACCAGTGGAAAAGAGACTCCCTCCAACCCCCGGGCTAGGGTTTATATGTGTTTTCTGTTTCCATGAAAAATTTATTGGTATGGGGGAAAGAGGAATGAAGAACCATGGTAAATTTATCTTTAACTTCTGTAAGATGCAAGAAGCATAGGGGCAGGTTTGTCTTTAACCTTTGTAAAGCACAACCTGTATCTTGTTTGGAGTAGGTTTAAACAAACAAACAAAAACCCACACCCTCACCAGATAGTTCAATCAATCCCCAGCTGAGGAACAGGTATGAAATACTTGGCAGAGAAAACCTTTAGTCCCAAATCCTTGTGTGAACCAAAAGGGATAATGGCCTGGTAGGGTGTGGCTCAACCTTGAAAGCCTGAGGCAAGTCCCTAACTTCAGAGAAGGCCCCAGCGGGAGGGAAAGAAGAACAAAAGTCATGCTGCATTCTCAGAGGTCCAAACTCAGCTCGCTCAAGCAGCCTCTCTGTGGAAAATGAGAAGATGCTACTGCAAAGCTCTCCAGATGGCTGAGAGACCAGTGAGCCAACACTGGGGAAGTTGGCTCAGAAGATGAGGCGAGTAGAACTAAAATCTCAAGAAGGAAAGAGGCAAGTAGAATCTCTCTGGCCCATCTTCAAGATTCATCATCAGAAATCCTAGAACATCTTCCAACTCTTATTTAAATGGAAAGGTATCAGTGGAGAGTTTATAAATACTGCCTGAGAGAAGGCTGTGAAGATCTATACCTATTTGTCAAGTGGAAAAAATAGGGTTATGACCATTTATTTGTGTTGCCTGTGGTGTGTGCAGGCTCAGGATACTAACTTGGCAAACAACAGTGCTTGCCAGATTTTGGAAGGCCAGTGGGAAGTGGTCAGATTCATAGAGTGTGTGCCCATGGCTGCAGGACTGCTCAGGCTGAGGCCACTCTGGCCCCAACTCCCACTCCACCGTAGACTTTGAACTTGGGATACAGCCAGGGCCCCAGTGAGGCTCTTGGCCCTGCACAATTGATCTATGTTGAGTGTATTGCCTTTGGATACCCTTGGTCATTCACAGAATGTGAAGAATTCCCAAGACTCAGAAAAGTAAGAAAGCAAGAAAAGGTTTATTTATGTTAGTCAATGAGGATGCCCATGCGTGTCTATAGAAGACAGCTGCACCAGACTTTAGATTGGCTTTTTCTTATATAGGAAAAGGTAGGTAAATTTCCTTACAGCTGAAGTAGATGTGACATCCAAACTCAAGATATTAATATTTTACATATATACTGAGGTCATTTGATTGACGTATGCTAGTTACATAACTAGTTTCTTTCTGTGTATTCTCTTACCTGTAATGCATACAGAAGAACCCATGGGTGGGGGGAAGCCATAATGCTCATTTTATTCTATTTGTATTATAATGAGGCTGGAGTTCAAGTTATGAGCAGGCTCTAGCAGTCTGTGCAAGTGGTAAAAACTAGATAATTCTGGTTGAGGTCTTATCTCCTCTTTCTAAGGGTGTTTGGACAAAATTTATCTCTGGGGCTGAGCCTGGGTGGTCCCTGAGGAGGGGATTCGGGAAGTGCAAAGTACTGATCAAATCACCTTCCGCTAATCCCCCTCAAGCTCACTTTTAAGTGTTATCACAGTTTAATATATTCATAACCCCTTCCCTTCCCCAAAATGAATGTCATGGAAATAAAATTTGGAATTGAACCAGATGATTCACATCACTTTCTACCTTTTAACTGGGGTTGGAGGTGTTAAAGAGAAAACTACCAGCCCCAAATGGCATCACTTGTGTTAAAGCCCAATACCAAACCTAGATTTAATACCTGACCTGATTGCTCTTCCAACTTCTCCCAGAAATGTAATATTAATCAACCAATCTGGAATCTTCTGGTCTACACCAATGAGGTAATCTGGCACATGGGCCCTCTCCACTCACCCCACTCCCACCCCCATAGAAAATGGGGCAATCTGCATGATAAAAACTTGCTGTCCCCTTCCCCCCCAAAAAGAAGTCCTCACCTAAAAACAATAATTTCTTTTCATTCGTTAATTACCCCCTTGCCCCACCCTTCTTCTTTTAAAAATCTTCCAAGTGACAAACACTCTGAGCGCCCTTCTAGTTGCCAGATGGGATGCTGTGGGTTTCATGAACTGCTTAAGGAAGCCAATCAGATCTTCAGATTTACTCGGTTGAATTTTGTTCTTTAAAAGAGGGGACCCAAAATGAGAGAGGCAGACAGGAGACAAGGGGCAGGGAGGGAACCCAGCTTTCCGGGTGACTTGAGACCCGCTATCATTCTTTCACTGCTCTCTCATTCTTTCTTTGTGCATACAGGCTCATTGACCATCATGGGGTAATTTGTAGATGGAGAGATGACAGGCTTGGAATCCTACCTCTGCAGTATTCCAGCTGGGGCAGCA